TTGTAAGTTTGATGTTTTAAAAGTCAGTATGTAATAACATTTGTATTGATATTATGTACGTTTTTTATGTTTATTTTGTTCTTGTGAATGTGTGATAAAATGAAATAATTATTTCATGTATTTAATGAATAAATAAATAAATAAATAAATAATAAAAAAGATCTATTCACAAATATACCGCTGTCATTCTACACAACTGTGTGTTTACGCTTTATTATGTTTGTATAGAAGTATTATAATAATTTTATCATTATTAGAGTTAAAATTTAGAGATACTGAAAAGATAACTTTCTAAGTTCGACAATAGACTTAAAGACGGCTTCCACTGCTCCATTATGTAACATTTTTATTTTCATACTCGTATCCATCTGACGTATAACAAGGGGGTAAATGTAACTTCTTAGTCTCTAAATTAACATCTTGGTCTTTTAAACTAACCATAGATGTTAGAACTAGAGATGTTACTGCCACAGATTAAAAAATAAAAATATCTCATAGATTATAATGTCTTTAATAAGGAATGAAACACGTGCGATTTAAAAAATGATACAATTTAAAACAAAATAAAATCACATTTAGTATAAGATTTGGCACAATTAAGAAGAGAATAAATATTTAGTGTGACTAGGTCATATTCAGATTATCCATAACTTTCGGGAATAAGAATAATAAAATAAATTTATCACGTGCTTAATTTATAAATTGTTATTTTTTCTTAATAATTACATTTTCTAACCCACTACCAAACAACTAACGCCATCTATGGTATATATCATGACCTACATTGATATTTATTAAATTTTTATTTACTGCGTTAAAAGGATTGTATATTCTTTGACATTATTCATTACACATTATTCATTTTGAGGCTATTTGACCTTCATAATAAATCTAAACTGTGTTTCCCATTCAGAAAACATTGTTTTCACAAAACATTTCGTAGTGGAAACTGCTTACATCAATAAATAAAATAAATTAAATCATGAAAGAAACCTTTTAAATATTACTTAACTAAATCTATTCTAATTTTATTTCATTCGTATTTAAAAATTATAAAATAAATACAACATATGGAAATAAATAATTTAAAAATTAAATTACGTTCTAATAAAAATCATAAGTCTTGATTTTTTTCTTGTTTCTATCATATAAACAATATTGTATTATAGATAGGAATTTTCGAAACCAAAAATTAAGTAATTTCACAGCACTAAGTATACACTAACTAACCACTATTTTTGTCATGCTTTCACATGTACAAAAACATTATCATATCCCTGTCTCATAACATAGTTACGAGAGAGACAGACAGAACACACAAATTTGAGTGACACCAATCTTTACATTCTTCTAGATAGGCTTTAACCAGTAATACTTTGTCTGTATTTTTGCTTTGACATTGAAGATAGAAATTGTAGTAATGTTAGAATTAGATCGTATTTGAAGTAACCTCAATTACCACTTTTAAATCGGAATAAGGCAAAAACTGTTATTTTCAACTAGTGACATATCCAGTGAATATCAAGACGTTGGTAATGTGATCAGTGGAAACCTATTCTATTGGAAATATCAACAGACAACAATTAAAAACACAGAAGAGATATTAACATTTAGATCTACAAAAACCTTTCTAAAAACCAATTAAATATGTTATTTTATATATTTCTTTATATATTTATGACTATAAGTATGTAATTTAAGTATGTTTTGTTACATTATTGCTTATATAACGTTTTAAATGGCATGAAATTTAAGATTGCCCAAGTTACAAATATACACATGTCAACTACAATATATTTTTGACCTAATACTTGGAGATTATTATTCATATTTACAAAATACATTTTAAGTACAATATGGAATATTAACTAACTAATTAGCTAATGGAAATACTATTCATTTACTATAACAAGGAAATAACAAATTGTATTAATAAAAAATAAATTAAAATGAAATGTTTCAAATAATGGCAGTGACATAAAATTATTAAAAAATTTTTAAATAGACAATATCAGTATTAATTTTCTAGTTAAGTATATGAATAAATAATTTTATTATAATAACAGTTCAAACAAGCTATATTTTAATTAAGTCGCTGAAAATGTTGAGCGCAGTTGGTTTATAAGATACCTGTATTAAGTTCTACATATACAGTTATAAATATACTAATATACAGATATTTATTTCAATCTATGTAAGGATAAGAGTTATATCTTATGGTATAAGAGATGTAACCATTTTTAGTAGATAGGTCGATTTGATGGAACTTTGAAAGAAGTATAATAATATTCAAACATCTTGGTGGCTTGGAGACACGCACATGGATGCGCAGAACGCTTGTTCCTTCTTTAATCGTTGAAATTATATTTAGTATAGTTGTCATCATGGTTATGGAAGCCTTTATGCTTGATGTATCTGCCTTCTACTGTTGTTTGCACGCAGCTGTTGCATCCCAGTCTTTTTCTATCACGACATGTCCAATTTATCGTATTCTGATATCTATTATTGATCCAATATTTATTATCTTTGAATATCAACACCATACTTCCCGTACGGTGAGATGGTAAATAATAAATTCCTGTAAAAAAAACCTATTTATTACCCGATCTATTTTTAATTTAATTAATTCTAATAGACTAAAATATACAATGGAAATGAGGGTAGTTTATAATTTATCTATTTGAATAATGAAAATTATAGAAGCAGAATGAAATAAAAAGTAATTTATAACTAGAATAAATAATAATTAATGGTTAAAACTCTTACAAATATACATTAAGTAAAAAGGCTCGGATTTACTGAAGAATATTTTCATAATTTCGTTTTAATATATAATTTGTACTGACATTATATAACAGGCACTGTTTAAAGAATGAAAACAATCACTTTACCAGAATATTTATATTCTAGAATATTTACAAAATAAAACTTTGACATTCCATTAAAAAACTAGCAGGTCCCTAAAGCAGAAACATGCGTTCTGTTCCTAAGACATGTCAATACATAAAATCTTAAGTACATAATAATTATCTTAGAAAAATAAATGTTTACAAAGTACCAAATAAAGTTAACAGTATAAATCACTTGAGCGATTGTTTCCAGAACAAATCTTTTTCTCTTATAAATCTACCGTCATGACATTGTCGCAAACGGGGAGGATCATGGATGTGTCTGCCACGGAATATTGAGATATAGTCTCTGCCATCTAAGCCTTTGTAAGTGATGACGTCAGCCCGGCAGCCGTGAACATCCCGTGATGAACAGTACCACTGCTTCTTGCCATGCGCTTGATGATTCTTCATATAGAAAGTGAATCCGTTCAATATTAACAACCCGGCTCCCGTCCTACCCGGTATGAACTGAGCTGGAACTGATGAGCATAACCAAAAATTAACCTTGTATTAATAAAAATAAAACTCAAATTTGCTTACAATGATTTATTTCTGATTATGCCATTTTAAACCTTTTGCCAAAGTGATTTGGTTTAAAATAACATAATTTTGATATTTGATAAAGAATAATTAAGATGGTACATACTTTCTTTTTATTGAAAAATCTTTTAAAAAGAAAACATGTACCATAAAGGTATAGGACAAGGAAGTGGCAAGGTAAATAATTAGACAAAACATTTCAAATAGTTTATTTAGAAAATGGTTTTTGCTTTTTTCTTTATTTATTAAAAAAATACAAACTCTTCAAATTAACTGAATTCATAGAATTCTTTCCTATAGAATTTAATTTTAGGTTGAAGTACATGAATAAAAGTTTTGTAAATAATTGTAATGGCACCGTGGTTTTCAGTTAGTGTAAAAAAGAAAGAATTTCCAAATACATAAAGGCAGATTTTACATAGAAACTAAAAGTATGTTCTATGCTTTGTTTATAAAAATTACAAGAAAAACACACTATTTTAACCCTTAGAGTATGTTAAACTAAACACGAAACAATTCCTTGTAAACTTTGTTGGGACTCGAACCCAGGAAAATTGAAATATAACTTATTAAGTCTCAATATTAATTTATTGTAAGCATCATAAAAATCACTCACACTTAACATCAGGTTATTCATACTTTTCAGCCGTAGACCACTAATATTTCAATTGATGATGACTGTTTCAAAGATAGACCACTACAATTGTACTTTATAATGACTGTTTCATCAATATACCACTACTATTGTACTTAATAATGACTGGTTCAGCAGTAGACTACTACATATGTATTTAACAATGACTGTTTCAGCAGTAGACCACCACTATTGTACTTGATAATGACTGGTTCAGCAGTAGACCACTAAAATGATGCTTGATAATGACTGTTTCAGCAATATACCACTACAATTGTTCTATATGACTGGTTCAGCAGTAAACCACTATATATGTACGTGATATTGACCACTTCAGCAGTAGACCACTACAGTTGTAGTTGAATATAACCATTTCACTTATTACATAGCTCTACTTACTAAAAATAAATTTTAGAGACAAGTTTGCATCGTACACATTGTAATGGCAGCAGGAATCGAACCCACATAGTGCAGTTTAACTTAACCCATATTGATATAACACTCTAATACATTTGACTCTATGTCCTTGTCATATGTGTATGGTACTAGTTTTTGTCTGTAACTCCATTGCTGAGAAAAAACAATTATAACACAGATCTAATTACTCCAAATAAATTTTAGAGACAAGATTGCATCCTACACATTGTAATAGCAGCAGGAATCGAACCCGCATAGTGCAGTTTAACTTAACCCATATTGATATAACACTCTAATACATTTGACTCTATACACTTAATCCTAGTAATATGTTTATAGTACTAGTTTTTGTCACCATCGCTGAGTGAAAAAAACAAAAGTAGCCTTTGTGTTCTTCCCAGACTATGTTCTACATCTGTGACAAATTTCATCGCAATTCATTGTGGCATTTCAAAGATACCTTCTAACACTGATCCATACCTCAAAACTATTGCATTGCTGGTCTATAACTAAGATCGTGATATTTACACAGGATGCCACAATTCTAAATACTTGACATGAATTTAGTTACGAATTAATGTTGTTATAGACTAAGTAGTAGTAGCAGTAATAGTACATACATTACATGTAAACATACATTTGATTACATATATATATATATATATATTGATTCATTTGATTGTGTTGATCATTTTAATCCTATGTAATTGTGAAAATCACAACATTTTTAATCTCATTTAGAATTCTCTTCATATTTACATTTTAAGGGTCAAAACAGTATTTTTGTTTTATTATAACCATAAAACATTTGATACAAGAATAGATTTGTCAATTGTTTAATTTGGAATGATTGCACTAGTACTTTTCTCTCTATAACACATAGAACAACTTATGTAAACATCAACCTTTAAGTCATCATGTAAACTTTCTAATCAAATTTATCAGCTTAAATAACATTAAATACAGTTTTAAACATTTGGAAATCCTTCGTAAACAAACTTACTCTCTATTACTCACCAAACCGCAGCTAGAATTCGGGAACAAGTGTCCCAAAATGGGATAAAAGCGGGAACCAAAACTAACCTTTTCAACACTTCACATCACTACAAGTTTAATGAGATTGAAACTTTTCCAGTGTTCATTTAACTAACCGTACACTATATTACTATTTTTTTCCTAAGAAACCATTACTTTAATCTTGTTTTGTAAGAAAATAACACGCAAAACAACATAAAAACAATTTGACGTTTGGATCCTCGAAGAATTGGCACAAAAAATTTTTGAAAAGGATAGAGTTTTATCGAAAACTTATTACTTTTGGAACGCATTTTTGTATGCTATCGCGAATACTCAATCTCGATGCATTATTTTACGAAACAACGAGAAATAACACAGTAAAACAACAGTTATTTGGCATCGAGAGAGATATTTTGACATTTCTGAAGTACGGATTAGGACAGATACAGAGTATATCTCTGCATAGATTATGTTAAAATTGAGATTCTTATACTTTGTCAATTGGTCTGTTTTACAATGTTTGTCGGTTTTTAGAGCTTTTTATGTTAAAATTGGCAAGTTCCCATTTTATTGTGCTATGATATATGACTTATACTTATCTAATTAATGGTTTATGTATCTGTAAAACTTTTGTGAAAATTACTTAAACGGGTTAACTTTATAGCAGGTAAGCAATAATTTTTGAATAAAAAAAATAGAAATCAAGAGAAGATAATTTATAACTGTTGCGCTGGAAGTCTTCTCTAAGGCTGGAAGTAAACATTAAATTTAAATTAACAGAAATTAATTGTCTCTTATACAACGCCATCTTTTGGTTTACAGCGAACCTACGGTTCCAGAAATGTTTTTGCCGACTTTGTTTATCATTATACCAGTAGATGTCTCTGTTTCAGAATTTTTAATCATTTAAAAAACGTTACAGAAAAAATGATCCCTTAAATTTTTTAGGTCTCAACAACTAATAGTTTGAAAAAACAGTTGAAAAGAGGAATATAAAAGTAAGTGGAAAAAGTTAAATTAACAAGACAAATGTTCTGCCAACGTTAAATTGAAAGAAATAAGTTAAAAAAATGAGAAGGAAAAAATATCCTGCATCGACCGGGAATCGAACCCGGGCCGCCCGCGTGGCAGGCGAGCATTCTACCACTGAACCATCGATGCTCATCATCATTTTTTAAAAGTAAAACGATTTCTAGATTATTTCTATTATCTTAGTATAGTATTATCTGTGGTTTATAGCAACGCGCGGTTCACTCTGGGACAGTTACGATGGCCAGTCATAAACTGTATGGATTTACTGACACTAATGTGCATTGACACTGTGTTAGCTAGTTCAGTTATTAAGCACTACTGACTGTACTAAATAAGTGTGAAATGTGCATTAGATTTAGAATATAACAGATAATGTTCCAGCAAAAAGAAGCAACAATCGATTACCAATGTTAGTGTAATGGATTACCGTAATCTAGTTTGCATTTTGTATATTACCGTGACAAAGCATGGTCAGGATTTTATAAATAGGCCAAATGTATACAGTAACCATATTCATCACTCACTTTTGAACCTTTTACAAATTTCTTTGTTTTAATTAAAATTTAACAAGCATCGATGGTTCAGTGGTAGAATGCTCGCCTGCCACGCGGGCGGCCCGGGTTCGATTCCCGGTCGATGCAGATTATCTTTTGCTCTTGTATTTTGTACTTATTTGTTTAGATTTTAACTTGGAATTATTTCGAAATCGCAAAACATTTGTCTTTAAATTTTAAATTCACATTTTTTAACTTACAAACAAACCTACAAATTGATCAAATAAACCCTTAAATCCACTGAAGCGATCATGTTTACTGATGTCCAGTAATACGCTAAATGTAATCTGCTTCATCCAGAGCAATGTAATCTTTATAATATAACGATAAAGTTCAAATTTGAATGGTGTAAGTAATACATTTTCATTCCCTTTCGCAAACAGATAGTCTGATAAACACTAGTAGTGTTTATCAAACGACAATTTGTATTTGAAACTGAATTTTGCACTACTTTATGTAACTAGCCTAGATAAAATTAATTAATAAAGCAATTTAATCTAATGCATAAAAATATTACATTTGTGATTAAAAGCAGGCATAGAAATACATAATTTGAAACAATAATATAAGATGAATACGAAATCTAAAAGAAATAATAATTACACAAAATATGCGAATAATCGACTATGTGATTTAATTCTTCACAAAAAATCTAGTCAATGCTAAAGTTTTTATATTCTTTAGAACTTACTCTAGGTTTCCATTAGTTTCTCTTAGCTTAGTTTATATTTACTTGACACCGTCACATATTAATACCTTTGCCCGTGACTTGATTGTGCGGAATAAAAAAAACTGATAGCCTATGTGTTTCGTAAAGTATGTTGTACATATATGGCAAATTTCATCGAGATCCGTTTAGCTGTTAAGGCCTCTAATAAACTGTTTTTTTTTCTTTCTGACAGCTTATCTTTCCTATCTAAACTAACATTATGAAGAAGAAAGTTTTTTTTGTATTCTTGTATCTATTGAAATAAATCAAAAATTACTGGGCCGATATCAATAATAATGTCACGGTTAGAAAGGTAATTTTAATTACACGTAGACGAAGTCGCGAGCAACAGATATTTCCCACTTCGGTAATAATAACAAAGTAACAGCCCGAGCCGAGGCTCCTGAGGGAGCCCTCGACCCTAGTTACTCATAAAAGAGGTTTAGGCTAAGCGCCATCTGCGCTCGGCCACCTAAGCCCGGTGAATCTGTAAATGCCTCTTTAAGGCAAACAGTGACAACTCAATCACAGAAAAAAAAACAGATATGTATTTTTAACATTGGTAAGATTTTGTATGCCTTTAACAAAGAATCATACGTTATTTTCTTACCCATACAAGCATCGATGGTTCAGTGGTAGAATGCTCGCCTGCCACGCGGGCGGCCCGGGTTCGATTCCCGGTCGATGCAATGCTTTTTAATCTTTTAAAGTTTATGACACATGTGTACAAAGTACGAGAGGGATGCTATCGTATTGAAAAAACAGACATTTTTTTACAGGTGTATCGACAGAGAAAAGTCACAGTAAGAAACAATAATGTATCGTTACTAATCTTCATATTTATTTATTACCTAATTCTCCATATAAAATTAGTACAATACGGAAACCTGGCCTTTGCAACCCAGTGTTCAGGGCTGCAGAACGGAACCTCCTCAGAGTACGCGGTTTCTAAAATGTCTTCTATATCTGGCCCTAAATTTATTTGTTTAGTAAGACTTTAATATGATAAAATTCAGTATAATTATATTATTGAAAACTTTGTAAATGAAATAAAGGTAAAAGAACTTTCTATCATTTACTCTTTGATAAGACCACATGAAATTCAAATGTTTCGTCAAATAACTATTACGACCTCGGGCATGTCACGAGTTACGCAATATTGACGATTTGGGACGGACTAATACAATATGGACGTGACTGAGAGCGAATACCGTCTCGGGAATTCTGACATGCGGTATACAAGTTTAGTAATTTTTGTTCAAAATTGTTACCAA